GGACAATGACAACTAGAAGTGTGTCAAACTAAAGTAGACGGTGTGTCAGGGAGACACCAAGAGCGTCTAGGGATACTAGGAGTAGTGAAAAATACTGTACAACAAGGAGTAGGTGAAACTCAACTAGTTAGGGTAACAATGGTTACTCAGTGTGACTAAGGATATCAGGAGTGGTTAGAATACTCAATGTACTTCATTGAATATTCAATGAAATCCTTTAAGGAGAATTGGACGTAGCTCTAAAGAGTAAACCAGTATAAAAATTGTTTGTGTGTTATAGCTTATATCGTAAACTATTAGTTTTTAAAGAAAACGATCTCCTAACACATAAGTCTTCAACAAGCGTTATCATCCGTAAAAGAGTTACTTCCGGCCAAACTCTTGGAGAATGAATTTAAGTTGGTTCTGTAAACGAACTCAACATAATAGCGTTTATAAAAGAAGCATAACCAACTTACAATTATAACTCATGCCATGATCAGATTTATAGCCGCAAAAAGAGTTACAAAAAAATTATTCAACTCCCTTTCTAATGTTTTCCCACAATTTCAAAAGTATCATATTTATAGTCACATACATTGATTTATGTGATTCTAAATTATTACAAGAAATTGTAAATATGTTTTATGAATAAATCTTAATATTTCATTTCAGTTAAAGTATATGATATAATTATTCGGATCGTATAAAATAATATAATATTCAGAAAAATATCATCTTATATTAACTATTATTTAAATTACATAAATTATAAATGGAAAGGTTGAGTAAGACAAAATTGTATGCACTAAAATTATCCAAAGATACACACATAAATGATATAATTTCGTAGGTGAATATTTAGTTGCTAAAACTTCAATTTCTACGAATTCCATATATGAATTTGGTGTACATTTAATTTATAATTTATTAATATTATATAGGTCCCAACAACACACTCATTAAGAGGTAGGAGATCATATTATTTAAGAGGTATATATATATTTCAATTATTAATTAACATGATTTCAATCAAATATATTATTATATTCTTTATACATCTAAAAGTCTATAAATATTTAATTTGACCAAGAACATATCACTCAACACTATTTATTTCTATCACATTACTCACTCTTACTTGAATGTCGTGAGAGTTTTTGCAAATAGACTTTCCCTCAACTTTATCAACAAACTCAGACTAACACCACTCTATATCTAAGATTCAACCATTGAAGATCTTTCATTCCATCTCGGACACTACCCAACAAATTTTGATAAGAACATTTAAGTAAAACTTTTCTCCAACCACATTGCATATGATTGTACGAGCTATGCAATCAAACGCATTCTTGAATGTGCAACATCCACATGCTACAATGGCGAAATTTCTCTTTTATGTTTGTAGCAACGATTTCACCCTCTCAATTGGGGCCATAATTATGTGCATGACATCATCCATCAGCACTCCAACCATAAAATATTATGGCTCAATTTCAATAGCATAATTGACGTTAATGAGTCCAAATACTCATCATTTAATTGCGATGACAAAACTCTACTAGTCATCTCCCCAAATATTTCATTTAACTAATTCATTATCTCTAACCTAAATTGTTTTGCTAATTTCTCACTAGTTGCGTCATCCCAAAAGCTTTTGGTAAGCCTAATTCCAGTGGGCCCAAATTTGACATGATGAAGTCACCCATTCCTCTTAGTTTTGGCCATGGCCATGGTCGTGACAAGCCAATGCCTTTGTTAGTGTGTACATAATCAGCCTAATTTTTAGACTCACAAATAATAATAGACTCATTTTTATATTTATCTCTAAAACATTGAGAGATGATGTTATTTAAAAGATATGTATATTATTTAACAAGATATCAACAAAATATTTTAATATATCATTCGTAGGCTCAAGAGATCTATAAATATTCAATAATATTCAATTCCACCATAATGTATCTTAATTTTTACTAAACACTATTTACTATTATCACAATATTCACTTTTTCTTACTTACTTGAGATTTGAAGAGTTCTTATAAGTGGGCTTCCCTTCCTCTTCTATCAACAAGTTCACACTAACACCATTTTGGACCATTGATTTAGACATTAAAGATCTCATTCCACCAAAGAGACTACTCAAGATGAATTCTGGTAAGAATAATTGGCACCTACACTAAATATCTTTGGTTAATTGGCACCTACACTAAAGACCTTTGGTGTCCATTGTGGACGCTAAATGTTTAAACTTCATGTCCGTTGAGATAACATCGTTAAAATAAATCATCACATCTAAGATATTGAATTTGAAATAATATTTGGTGATAAATCCCTGATGTGTAATGTGATACACACTAGTAGCCCCGAGGACAAAGTGTAAAAAATTCATACTAAAGATTCGATAAATCTAAATATCTCAAACAAGCACATTTAATCATATTCAGATTTATAAGAAAGAAAGCGGAAGCAGAAAGACCAACCTCCAACCATTGTTGTATGCTTGCTTAAATTCTGGTTTCTGAACCCTTGCTCTTAAAACACGATGGTGATGTATATGAAGTAAAGAGTAGGCTCAGTGACCTGATATGAAATTCTCTGTAGAGCTCCAAAAAACCATCACAGAGTATTTTTTATATCGTTAGAAGAGATTGTTGTGGGAATAATAGCACACCCACACGTTTGAAAACGGTTTTTATTTAAAATGGACCACTTTCAGAATATTAACTGCTTTTAAATATTAACTGAAAAGGAAATAAAATAAATGGGATAGATATATTCTTAAAATGTAACCTCTTTTCTGTATAAGGCTAACACAAAATTGTTGTAAATCGAAGAAAGTAATATGGCCATTGTGGCAAGTAGGTGTCCTAGGTTCTAGGACATGTTTGATTGCATAGCCAACACAATCATAGTAGAAGACATACCAAATTTTTAAAGGGTTCATGGCTATGTCAAGGATCATATGTGATGTGACTGAGAAGATTTTTTTGTATGTTCTTTCTCTGCCAAATTTGATTGAAACACTTACCTTGAAAATCAATGTTTTGGTAGTGGTATTAGAGTTGTTCTTAGTCAACATAATCGTCCTATTATCTGTCTTCGTTAAGTTCAAAAACTATTTGCTTGAGCATAAATTTATTATAAAAACAAATAAAAAAAGGTATGAAGGAATTGTTGGAGAAAATCTGTAAACTTGTAAATAACAACAACGGATATGATTTTACAATCAAATATAAACCTGGAAAATAAAATATTCTAGCCTATTCTTTACCGAGAAGCTTTTTGTGAGCTTGTGCTGAATTCACTATATTATGACTCCAGGAAGTTGCATAATTAACTATAACTAATAACATCTTATTTGACTTATATTCGAAATGCATTAACAAAACTTTGCAAGATTCCAATTATTTAGCTAAAGATGGGTTACTATTTTGCAAGGGTACATTGATGCTTCTTTGGAATGACTGGTTAAATCTTAAGTTATTTGAGTTTCATGATAGGGAAATGGGGTCATGCAGGAATTGTCAAAACATTTGATAAAATACCACATCAATTTTTCCATTAGTCAATAAACCAAAGTGGATTAAGCTTTACCTTCTCATTTATTAAAACCTTTACCTATTCCTCATCAGGTATAAGATGATATTGCCCTAGATTTCATCACCTATTAGCCTTTATCTCATGGATATTCTACTATTTTGGTACTAGTTCATAAATTTTATTACTTTAAAATCGGGCTTTACACTAAAATTGTAGCTAAAGCATTCGTCAATAATGTGAGAAAAATTCATGACTATATTAAATATCAGGTTTTAATTTATTTAAGATGCTTTGTGTAGTACTAAAACTTGGCAACACATTTTACATTGGGTCCAATATTGGTCTGATAGTTGTTTTCGTCTTAGAGTTTATCTCTTTTATATTTTACTTTTTATATAAAACATCATCTCCCTCAATATTTTAATAAATGAATTTGATCTTTTAGTATTTTACTCTCTATTTAAATTATAAATTAAATGTTTTAATATTTTTAAAATTTATTAAGTTTTACATTTTAAAACTCTTTTCATCATCTTTATTTAACTCAATATAGTAATATTTGTAAATATTATAAGAGAGGTGACTGTCACTTTAAAATTATAAAGAATGCAAATATCATTCACTAATAACATGAAAGAGATAATATGTTAAAATATTTACATAAGCAAAATGAATGTAAATTTTAATCATGAAGAGATGTGATTTGAATGTTGTCTACTTAATCCTCAAGAAAAATAAATACAAATTTCTGTTATTCAAATCTTACCTATTTTTAACCCACTCTGCTAACATCTTAGTACAGGTTAGAGTGGCTAGTTGATTTTATTGACATACTCGTAATATCACTGCTAAAATATTTTTTAATTTCATTGAAAATCAATTTCTGTTGATTTTTTTTATAGAAATAGAAATATTATACATACATAAAAATGAATCTATCTTCATAGTCACATTTCTAGGATTGATAAGATTGGAATATGCATGAGATTATATGATATCATTTATCAACTGTGCAAAGTCCCAAAATAGAATGTATAGGATGCTATGCTTACGTTAGTCGCAAAATAGGCCAAATATTTTGCGCATCCAACCAAAACAATTTCATTTTGTAGATTTTGGTTAAAGCAAATTGTTTAAGCGAATCCCACAATACCAAAACATAAAACAGCTATACACATAAATTAACAGATTCCGTGGTCAGAAACACGTCCAACTGCAAAAGCTAGCAAAATTTCGACAAATTGATTACATTTTGATTAGAGAGGTTCAAAAGAGTTTTCTTCCAACAAAAAATTAACATTTCAAACCACACTTCAGTGATGATAAAACTAAATCTATAACTCGCAATTCCATTCACATGTTATGGATGCATGATTCACTTTTAAGTGAGAACATCGCAACAGCACTCAACTTCAGAAATGGAAGAATATAGGAAACACTGAAAGGTATGCAAATCAAGATAAACAAAGCAGAAATAAACAATCCATCCACAATGATATTGACAAAAGAAGCACCACAATGACTTGAAGATCCTGCAGCAAAAGCTGTATAGGAGATAATAAAATATGTATCTTATGTCTCACCTAGATCTCTATGTTAAACTAATTCTACTTATAATTCCTTAAGGATGAAACCCTTCAGAAGCCTCCAGTCTGATGAAGCATGGCATCGATTTCATCACCATCCTCCATTTCCAACTGCAATAATAAAAGTACAAGTAAAAACCAAAAACGGCAGAGATAAGAACATGACCAAAAAAGAAGAAAACACAAACCTCATCAGGAGTCTGCTCAGCACGAAGGCGGCGACCATCAAAGAGAAAAGCAATGGAGTTGAAATCAACCGACTGTCGGTCACAATAAGCATTCATAAGTTTTTTCAATTGAGTGCTCCTCTTGATCCTGAAGAACACTTCGTTCCCATCCTACAGCATCCAGTTAACAAATTAGCTTCAATTTAAGATGTTTACGTGATGATATATGTTTAAACATGTTACAGGAAGACACCAACAAAGACAACTAAAAACAAATTCACTTCACTCTGTAAGATTCAATTTTCCAAGAATAATCACTGACACCATCCACTGTATGTTTATTGGATACAATTAGTTTTCATAACCAATTCAACAAGAATAAATGAATATTAGAAAGTGAAATGTATACTGTTAAATTGGGCATCGTTTTCTTTGTTAGGCCATGGATGTATATCTTCAAAACTGTAACCAGTTAAAAATCACCATACACAACAACAGATTGAGCATCCATGCAACAGCATATCAAATGTTGTAAAAGAAACAAAGTACAAACTCATAAATAAGAGAAGAGAAACCTTAGTTTAGCATTGTAACAGTTGGATTTGCGTATCCTCTGTGATAAATATCAAACCACCAGACTGAGAAACCGATTCGATTTGTGGACAAACGATATACAACCAGTAAACCCAGATAAATAGTTTGCCCCAAATTTCTTTGCATGATTAAAACCGAAACCCATTTCCTTCGATAAAGTATGTATTCAGATGCGAAACATACTATCGGAAAATTCAAATACCAAAGGCCCCAAAATAGAAGAAAAACAAAACTAAAATCAATGTAAACGAAAAACATAAATCAATGACAGGAAAACATCATCGAAATTCACAGAGCAGAAATCCTTCAGGAATATTAACAAAGTCAAACCCTGACATAATTTACTCCACGAGATAACGTCATCATCAGTTTATCATGATAATCAAAAATCAATTTTCCAGTGCGCGAATTTCATCAGAAACACGTAACCGATAGCAAACACTAAAGAAAATAAATCATCACAACAAAAACATGATCAACAATAAAAAAAACAAAAACATAAAGTATACCCAAATCCAAATTTTTAAAAGAAAATCGTCATGTTTTATTTTTTAACCAACACAGGAAATCCCAAACAAAAACAAAGTCATCCTCAACAATGAAACCCAAATTCAGTAAAAAAGAGAAAGATTAGGACATACTTTGACACAATATCGTGATACAGTAAACACAGCCAAACGATCTCTAACTCATCAGGGTACAAAATCGAAGATCTAGGACATGCAATTCACACGATCCAAAAGAAAACAAAAACCCTAGAAATAGAGAAAACAAAAATACCATACAAACCTGCCCTTTGACTTTAAGATTGATGTGTGCCCCTTGCTCGCTGGGCTTCTTGTCTTCCTCGTTATTGTTGTTGTTGGCAACACCAGACATCTTGAACTCTCCTGACAAACTCTTCTTCTTCCTTTGGTTACCGCCGACAACAGCTGCGTCTACGCTCTCTTTGACGTTGTGATTGCAATAACGTTTCTTATACAATTCCCTTTGGACCGTTCAAATTCCTTCATTAACATGTGACGTTACTGGGCCTATCGGACTGATGGGCCTTTGGACCCATAAGCCCAATGCTTATTTGGATTGGATAAGTCTGCTAGGTAGCAGTTACAAGTTTGATTTTAGGGAGTTGCTCCCTCCACCCCCACACATCTCTTCCTCCACCTCCCCAATTTTCTAAAATGCCAATTATATCCTTCTAAAATGACAATTATATCCTCAAAAGTTAAAATTTTTTAATTTTTATTATTTTAATATTTTAATTTATTTAAAACTTCTGATTTACTTCTCTGCACCTCTTCCTCTCTTCCATTTCCGTTCACCTTTCTCTCTTCTGTAAAGCTTCTTCTCCATTTCTCCATTTCCGTTTATCATTTTCTCTTCAAGCCTCATCAACCTTTCACTTCTATTTCTCCATTTCTTTCTTCTTCATTTTCCGGGAGAGCATTTGCGGACCGTTGGTGATTGGTGCGGTGGAGGCCGTTCATATATAACATTTAAAATTATAAATTTAAATATAAATTACTGTAAATAAAATAAACAAATAAAATAAAAACGAAACGAAAAAGCAACGCTGAATGACATCCTTCAACGGATGTCAACATCCGTTTAAGGCGAAACGGATGTCGACATCCGTTTAAGGCGAAACGGATGTCGACATCCGTTTTGTGATGTCACACTGTTTTATAAACGAAGGTTCGAGAAGGTGGGTTTAAGCACACATTAGAAACAGACAGAGGAAGTAGAAAGCCAAATCAAAACCAGTGGGCGTTTCGTAGAATCCTCATTGCTCTGAAAACGACAAACCGAGATTAAAAAAACGCCCACATTTTCACTTTCAACTCTTTTATTACATTGCATAAATTTCAACACTCTTCTCAGATTGCCCACCGAAAAAGCCTTTCACCATGGTTTCTAGCCGTTTCGTGTCACTCTTTCTCTGTTTCCTCTGTTTTGAGATCTCTGTTTCCTCCATTCGGTTGCCTGGTGTGGACCAAGAAGCCAAGGCCACGTAATGATGATGATAATTTTATTTCTGAATGCACTTTTGCCATATGGGTATCTCTCTACCCGTGAATGAGTTTAAAATTTTACATTTTTTTATGTTTTGGTTTGTGGGTGTTTGTTTTCAGCCATGGATCGGGGCTTGGGTTGAACAAAGGAGTCTGTTCAGTGAAATTTGATCCCACACGGGTCACTCAGCTCTCATGGAATCCCAGGTTTGACCTTTTCCTTTGTTAGACAAATGGGTCGATTTTATTTTCTTTTGTTGTTGAATTTTTGTGAATTATATCATGCAGGGCTTTTCTGTACAAGGGATTCTTGAAGGAGGAAGAATGCGACCATGTGATAGCTCTGGTTAGATTTAGTTTTTGATCTTAGTACTTATACTTTTAATGAGGGACAAAATAGTAAAGAAAAAATGAAGGAAGAGGCAAAAAAGTAAAGGGGAGGTGGAGGAAGAGATGTGTGGGGGTGGAGGGAGCAACTCCCTTGATTTTAATGAATCTTATCCCTGTCAATAAAAGTTCAGATGCTTTGAATTTGAATTTGATTTGAACGGGCGGTTAAAAAATTGAATTTCAATTAATACTCTCGAACTCAGGAAAAATAAATATGCTTTAATTAATAGTATAAAAACATGTGCATCAAGCCTACCTTATCTTATACGAAAAAAAAAACAAATAATAATATTATTAAATACATAGGTCTTATTCTATTAAAATAGATTAATTAAATTTTAAAAGAATATTTATACAACACAAAAGTAAATTAATAAAACAATTTATATTAATAAAATGAATAATCACAAATAATTGATATTAAGTGTGACATCTCAATTTTCATAGCATTCAACTATTTTAGGATTTGTCACACCTTCAATAATACACAATATTTAACTCAAAGAAACATGTAAGATACTATTACATATATTCAAATATTACTTATAATAGCAATACTTGAGATAGAATGATTATTAAAGTATTATAATAACTTTCAAGACAATCTCTACATTAACACATCACAATACTAAACGCCACCATAAAATCTACTCATGAGATCCATGGAACTACATAAGTACATAACTACTAAACACCAACATGGAGTCTCACCACAAGGTCCATGGAGTTATGCCAATATATATATCATACCAACAACCAAGAAGCATATCATACTTGAAGAAGCATCATACACACCACTATATCCATCAACCATTAACATATACATATCCACATCATATATTATCAATTTGTATAAAACATTCTAAACCATATCAACTTTTGAAAGTATAGAAAACATATAGGAAAACCCAAAATAGAGGACTATTACTAGACCAATGCCCAATGAGGAAATCACTTTCCAAACAAATTAATAGAAATAAAAGTCTTGACCTGCAATAGAGAAGTGGCACTCCACGCCACTTCTTACCACCCAACGCCTACCAAAGAGAAAGCACAAAGCTCAACAGCCTAGAGTTTCCCCTCAAGGCCAAGAACACAATGAGCTCATTGTCATCGCAACGCCTAATGTCCTGGAGTTCAATGGCTCTCTGATGTCGTGATGCTCAATGTCACTCCGTGCCCCTCAACACCATACCAAAAAGCCAAAATCTTTGATTCTTGATTTATGTGTAATGAACCATTTCCAAATGACCAAATTGGTGTCCTAATACTTGAAATTATTTGGGAAACATGTGTAAACCTTGGTTTGGTATCAATTTGCTCAAATGGTCAATTACTCAATCCATTAGATCAATCTCACACTTATCAAAACCCAATAACCAATTTAGTATGCTTATCCATTTTATTTCAATATGATAATAGGTAAGTCTTAAATGACCCAAACTAAAATTTTTAACTCCTAACTGACTTAAAAACCAACTTCCTTAGAATTTCACTTGAACAAAACTCCTTTTCCACCCAAAATCATAACCTTTTACTCATGCATATACCCAACACCTAAACCACTAAATATTTTCCTTAATCTCATCAATTCAGATCAGCAAACACCTTTAATTTGACCAGCAACTCCTTTCTAATTGTCTTATACTAAACCAAAAATTATAAACAAAATAATCCAAGTACTTATACCATATCACAACAACATTTTAGCATAATTCAATTAATTAAACAATCATTCCTAATCATCATAAATCATCCAAGACCAATAACATTCAACCAACAATTCATAATAGAAATTTATCACATCAAACCACAAAATTTCATAACATTTCACATATCTAGCACAAATTATAAATATCATTTAAATTAAAAGTATTAGGTAGCTTCTCTTATCTGACAAAAGACTAAACCACTATAAAAAGCCTAAAATAGCTCCACAAACACAGGAAGCTTTATCTGCTTATACGAAAAACAGAAAAACAATTATAATTGTTGAGATCAGTATCGCACAACGGAACATTTTAAAAAGCGTGATAAACAGACAATAACCAAGAGGGGAGGGGTGAATTGGTTCTATTAAAATTATGATTTTCTTTTAGAACTTTTATCAAATGGTTTATATGCAAGAGTTGTAGAGATAGAGAAAATCACACAAGAAATTTTATCCTGGTTCGAATCAACAGATTCTACGTCCAATCATTAATCACTATAAAGAGTGATTAACCTTTTCACTAGAAATCAGTATGAGATTACAATATAGAAAAAAAGGATTGAGATTAGAAATCATCACTCTTAACAGATAAGAGATGAAGACACATACTTTTGATGCACAAAAGGATGAACAATTTGACTGTGCTTTGTAGGTATACTCGACCACTTAGACACACCAAAAAAGAGCACTTCCTCCTACAAGCACCAAGTTCACAAGCTCCCTTCTCACCCATAGAGAGTTTCCCTTAGGCACACAGCTCTACTCTCAAATGAAAAGTTACCTTCTAAGAGTTGTGGAGAACTCTATTTATAAGCCAAGGTTCGTGCGAGGTCAAAAACTGAAAAGATAGCTCTCAACTACGAGTAATAATCGATTATCAAAAGTGATAATCGATTATTTTAGGCCGTTATGGGTTTTGGAAAATGTGATAATTGATTATCCTTAGTAATAATCGATTATTGCCGAACCTTGGACAATATCAAAACTTGCGGTGATAATCGATTATTGTCGCGAAAAACCCTTTTCTAATTTTGCATGTGATAATCGATTAAGCCTTGAGATAATCGATTATTGCCACAACATAGCTATACTAAAAAGAAATTTACAAGTCTTCTTATTATGTACAAGTAAAAGCAAAAGCCTAATAAAAGATTTTCAACAAAAATGCTTTGACAATGTAAGTAAATAATTCTTCAAGGCTTCAAGTGCATCATCATCAAAATCTCTTCAACACATCAATGTTTCATATTGGTAACAATCTCCCTCTTTTTTATGATGATCAAAAACTTGTTGAAGACTTGTGATATGTCTTGTTCTTGAAGGTTTTATTCTTAATTTGACAACTAAGACGAAAAGAGTAATTAATCCAGAATAGAGATATATAACAAGATATCAGCAAAATTATATATCTCCCCTCAAATAGGTATCAATTATCACAAGATTATCACATAAGATGTCAATAAAACATTTCTCCCATTTTTTATCATAATAAAAAAATTATCTAATCTTTATGCTACTGCCCCTAAATTAGCTAATTCAAAAAGAATTTAGGTCCCTTAAAATTTTTAAAACTACTCCCCCTAAATGTAATATTCTCCTTAAAATAAAAAATAGATTCTTAAAATTTTTAAAAAAGTTTTTTTAAGATAACTGATTATCATTTTTTATATTCGATTATTGGCGATCCAAATTGTCAAAATTAAAAATTTGAGACCTTGATAATCGATTATCACCCTTGATAATCGATTACTGTGCGTTAATTTCCGAAAAATGCAAATTTGGGCCAAATTTCCACCATAAGACATATTTAACACTCATAAATTATTTCAAAGCTCTTAAAATTTACCAGGATACCATAAAGCCTTCTTTT